AGATTCTCATTCAAGATCAAACGCTAGTTTGGAAATATACTCAACTGGAAGGGAGAACATCGTTAAGTAAAATAAGCATGTCAATTAATAAGTCTAGAAAATATACTTATATAACAAAAATATGTCTATTAAATTAAAGTATTTGTTGTAAGAGAATAGTCATGTCAAAACCATCAATAAACCTCATTAGGAAGCGAAATAAAAGTTTCAATCAACAAATAATCTTAGATTTTATTGTTCTGGCGTTTATATATATATGTCTAAATCTCCTGCTTTCTATGTAATATAAATTGGAAGGTTATTTTGTCGGAGAAAGCAAGCAATCAGTTTCATATAACCATTTAACATTTAAATTTGCCAAAGGTGCTCGATTACTATTAGCTAATGAACTCATTAGTCAAGCAATTAGATGTAAACACAGTTTAGATGAATGAATCGTATATAAAATGTATAAATGTATATAACCGAATGAAAAGAAAGTGTGTGTGAGGTTCAATCTACGTTTCCTCTTTAAAATGTCTAAAAGATCTAGTGAAACACGATTACGTGACTAGTTAAAATTATGCCTAAGGCTAGAGCTAGCCTCCTATCCGATCTCGGTCCCCGATAGAATAAGCAAGGCTGAAAAGTCAATTCAGAGGCTTACCGAAATAGCTCGACAGGATCCTCAATCTCGCGGAGTCGAGCCACTTCTTCATCACGAGCCGGTGCGCAAAAGCGCTGCATCAGACCGATCGCTCGTTCGGCATAGCCAGCAAGTTGTACATGACCTGTCTCAGCTAACTGGGACCGTGTAGTCTCGAGGTCGAACTGTTGCTCAATGTGGTCCCGAAGATTAGCTTGGCCCGGTAACAGTAAGCCTATCAGTAACTGTTCGAGCAAGAAAAAAAGGATAAATTAAGAAAGTAAATCAAATTTCATCCTCTGTGGTTGCTAGAAGAAAAAAGGACAAAAATAACAGAAGATGAAGAAGATCTTCCAAATCTTCTGTGAAACACAAACCAGTGACGAAAGCAGGATTCAACAAAACAATCAGGGTCAGAACACGCCAGAATGATAGTTAAATTCTCAGGCCCTCCAGTAGCGATAAAAAAATTGTATCGTAAGAAAATAGGGGCTTTTTATTTTCGTGTAAGAATATTTTAATTTTTCAATGAATATGATAATGCATTTAAGAATATAAAAAGGTGTGAGTGAACAAAAGAGAACCAAAGAAAAAGTTAACTCAAGTGGAAGACATCCCTTTCTTTTTGTTACTACAGGAACTAGCTCCATCATTAAATTGATTGGATCTTTAAAAATCAAATCGCAATACACAAAAGCAAAAATTTCAAATATCCATCTCAAGAAGACACAAAGCTGGTAATCGTATAATGAAAGGATAAGATTAATAAGATAATAATTAGAATATAAGATAACAACGAATCTAGATAACTAACCAAAAGCTAATAGATCAATTTTAGGAAATTTTTCAGATCCTAGATGGATGGTAGGCTGAAGATTTTAGTGTTGGTTTTCTTAGCTTGTCTGAGGCGATAGGAAGACCTTGTGGAACGTGCCTAGACTTGCGCCCTCTGTAATAGTATTCATGAATATTTCCAGCATCAAGCCGTTAACTTGATACACTCTTAGACGTTTCGCCGGCATCGACAGTCAGAGGAAATCCTCATGAATGCTATGTCAGAGGGAGCAGAACTAGATACGTTTCACAAATTCTCCCTGTCGCTTCGAGCAAGTAAGGAAAATGAGATCAATCAAACACTATGCAGCTGAAGGAGACTGCGACCGAACAAAAGGCCACACCATCTTGGTCTTCATATTTACGATATGAAGACTTTTATACTCATAAAAGCCATCATCCCCAAAAAAATTGGCAAGTCTATAATAAAAGTGGCATATGAATCCCTTCTAGCAGCTTAATAGGAGCGGATATCGACCTAAAATAGAATATGGATAGTGTTGTAAAACCAAAATTTCAGTCCATTCCAGATGAAGAAGAAAATTGGGGGCAAGGCAGGCAAAGGATAAGAGGGCAAAATAAGTTCTTTATAGAAATCTTCGTAAATGGTTTATTTTTAAATGAGCTTAAACGCATTGTGATGGGTTTAATAAAAATGTCATTTAGAAAATACATAACAAGACTGACCTAGCCGTAAACAACAGAATATTACAATATTATTGCAGGAAAAGAGTTTAATATTACTCAAATAATGTGTTTGTTCGTAAATTGACAAATAATTAGCAATCCCAAACCCCGAAAGCTAACCCATTTCGACAACCTGCTCCACAGTAGTACATAAAATCATTGCGATCGAGATACCTTAAACTTTATTTATCCTTTACATACAACCTCAAATAAATTAAGAATTAAAGTCAGGATATAAGTGAATCTATACTGCAAGGCAAAGACATTATTCAATTCCATCTTGAATCTGACATTAATCAATAAAATTGCTAGGCTAACGAAACACAAGAAGGATAAACGGACAAGAATTCTAGCTACAAAATATTACTCTATAAATAAAAAAATAAGAAACCGGCAAAGAAGGCTTATCTTTAACT